GCTCACCTTCAAACTTATCATCTCTCTGCCATCTGACCTGGTATGGCTGTGTAAGGAAACTGTGAAGATGAAGTATCATCTACTGTTAAGTTTTTCTCTTTGCTGGGGTTTTGTGGGTATCTTCTCAGGAGCTGGACCTCAGCCTCACCCATATGTGCTTACCTAGGAATGGGTCAACAGCTGGAAGATTATGTCCCCCATTTTCCTTCAGTAGAAGTGTGTGCCAGGGTTCAAGTGGACTGGGTTGTGGTCAAAACTGGGCTTAACTCCCCTCTCCTGAGTTGGGAATCAGGCACAGCACCTGCCCAATGTACATGAGACCCTGGGCTCAATCCCAGTACCAGAAGGAAAAACAAAGAGAGGACTAAAAAAAATAAAGAATAAAAATATATATTATGAATAGAAATAAAAAGGGAAAAATGAGAAAGAAGAGAAAAATCCAACTAAAGAATAAAAACATAGGGTAAGCCAGTCACTGTGGCACATGCCTGTAAAACCAGCAGTTCAGGAGGCTGAGGCGGGAGGATTGCAAGTTCAAAGCCAGCCTCAGCAAAAGCAAGACTAAGCAACTCGGTGAGATGCTATCTCTAAACAAAATACAAAGTAGGGCTGGGGATGTGGCTCAGTGGTTGAGTTCAATCCCTGGTAGCCTCCCCCCAAAAAAAGGTAAAATAAAATAAGGAAAATATTAATGAGAAATGAAGAATAATAATAAAAGATTGAATAGATGGAGAAAAATATCAAAAAATCCTCCTCTTGGTGTTTTTGGAAATGCTGGGATTCTTCTAAGGTAAGAATATGCCAGGTATGTGGCAGGTGGGTAGTGGGTAGCATTTGCAAGTCCTCTCAACTCTAACCAAGTGAGTTGGGATGGAGTACAGGCTGCACCCCTTGTTTCTTGTTGAACAGGTTAAGATAATGTTGACTGTGCCAGGTGTGTATTCTCTCTGGAAGATTTTAGTTTGCATACGCAGGGGCATGGCAATGTCTAGGCCAAGTTGGCCCTGGGATGCCTCTGAGGGTGAGGGGAGCAACTGAACCACTGAGCTCTGTGCTGGGGTGGGGATCTGTGGCATGGGGGCAGGTGAGCAAAAGCTGAACAATTTGCTATCCTCAGTCCCATGGCCTTCAGATCTAGCCCCCCCACCAGAAACCACACGTGAATAGTGTTGTTTCCCAACACAGAGGGCAGGATTATAGAATCACGATGGCCTCCCTGTCCTTCCCCATCCTAGCTTATGCTCTCCACTGCATAAACTTCTGAGCAAGTTTGTGTCAGAATACTGAAAGCCACCACTGAGTTGTGTGGCCGCTGCCAACACAGTCAGGGCAATGAGGTGTGTGTGGGAGTCTGAGATGTGATTGTGCTGGGTTTTCTGATGCCCAGATCTGTTTAACCCCTAACGTAAGAGCTCTTCTCAAGATGACCACTGGATGGGAGTACTCTGGGAGTTTACTGAGGTGCAGTAAATGTCTTCTCTGTATCTAGCTTGTTGTTTAGGCTCCAGGTCACATACTGATTTAAGCTGCTTGTCTGCCAGGTACAGACTTCTGCTATGACCCTCTTTTACCTTTATCTCCCTGGAGGATCCTTTTCCCTTGACGAAGATCCCAGGTGTCAGTAATTGGGATTTTCCACTTCTCTTGCTTTGTTATTCTCACTAGTTTCTGGAGTCGGCAGGTTTCATTTTCTGGGTCATCAATTTCCAGCGCTCACCCACAGCTGCTCATCTCCACAAGCAGTTAGACACCTGTTGCTTATTTTCCAACTAAGAACACTAGTGCTGAGCATCTCTAGCCCACATCTTGAGCTTTTCTACATCCTCTTTTTTTACTTTGAAAGTTAAATGCTATTCAAAATTTAGATAGTTGGATTGTATTCAAACATTAAACAAGTTCTGGATTTTTTGTCATCACTTCCACCTCTTGAATCTTTATTTTGTGTGTGTATGTGTGCATGTGTGACCAGGGATTGAACCCAGGGATACTCTTACCACTGAGCTACAACCTCAGTCTTATTTATTTATTTATTTTTGAGACAGGGTCTCATTAAGTTGCCAAGGTTGGCCTTGAACTTGTGACCCTCTTGCCCTAGCCTCCTGGGTAGCTTGGAGTACAAGCCTACGCCACCACACCCAGAACCACTTCCTGAATCTTTGTCAGCTTTGCAGTGTGTCTACTGCTTCCTGCTTTTTTGCTTCCTCATTTGCCTTCATCTTTGCATGGTACTCATTCGTTAGGGATTTCCATTCCATTCTGTTATTCTGAAGATCATTTGGTATACATGTGATTTTTCTGTGAAACTGTTGACATTTGCTAACCTTTGGTGTGACCACCTCTCGGGTACATCATATCATGGTAGATGATAGTGGCAGGAACATGTAAGCTTTTTTTTTTTTTTTTTTGGTGATCCTGCCTCAGCCTCCCAAGTTGCTGGGATCACAGGCAGGGGCCATTATGTCTGGTAGTAAGCTTTTGATTAGTTTCAAGTTGTTCTGAAAAAGTTGTTCCTGACAGTTTTTTTTCTTTCCAGTTTGTTCATTGCTTTGACTAGACTGATATTTGGAATTCCCTATTTTATTGTTTTTTGATAGCCTATACTTTAATAAACCTAAAAAATTCATCTATTTTTTAGCTGCACAATACCACTCTAGTTCTAGTTCTTAATACATCATGTCTATTTTAGGAACTCTTAAACTGACCTCTCCAGTATATCAGGGCTTCTTCAAATCTGTGACTTCCCTACTGAGAAAGCTCACAGTTCCTCCTTGTGTGTCAAATGATGTCTCCAGGCTCCAGTCCTAGCCTGGCTTTCCAAATTTCTCACTGTTCCTTGTGACCTCACATACTTTGATGAAGCCACGCCACTAGCTTCTCCCAAGTATGCAATTTGTTTTCCATTATCCACTCATGTATCTCCATTAATGCTGTTTGCTCCACATTTGGATTGTCCCCTACCCTCACCTCTGCTTACTGAAACACTACCCATCTCTTAAGAAGCAACTTAAACTTAAGCGTTTCTATGAGGTCATTCCTGTGCTAGTTCTACCATTTCTCCCTTGAGTGATCTGGGGTTGATTAACAGCTGAGCCTGACAAAATTTCTTTTTCTACTGTGTATGCATCAGTTCCCCTCCAGCAAGAAAACGCACACAATTGGAGCAAACCACAATGCTAATGATGTATCAATTAGCAACAGGTTTACTTAGTCATCCTCTGCGCATGCCCAAGATCCGGGACTTTCACTATCCACCCTGTGGTTGTCTGGCTTCCTCCTTTCAGGCTGATCCGTTTCCCGTCTCAGGAGTTTCAGGTAGTGCTGCGGCCCTAAGGGTAAATGTCCTCTCGTTTGCCTCTTATGTCCGTTCCCGTGCCTTGTATATCTCCTTCCTAACACTTCCACTAAACTGCTATGACGTTTTTATCACCTATCCCTTTCTTTCAGTAAATATTTGGTAATACTTAGTCTTTGCCAGGGCCAATAGGAAAAATTGAACAATATATCTCTGATAATTAATAATTATTATGTAATAGTTATATGATTATTATATACTAATAAGTATGTAATAGTTACATAATTATTATATAATAATTATTTAATTATTGAGAAAGCAAAAACCTCAACAGGATTTTTTTTTTTTTTTTTTTTTGGTACTGGGGATTGAACCCAGGACTTAACCACTGAGCCATATTCCCAACCCTTTTAATATTTTATTTAGAGACAGGGTCTTGCTGAGCTGCTTAGAGCCTTGCTAAGTTGCTGAGACTGGCTTTGAACTTCCGATCCTCCTGCCTTAGCCTCCTGAGCTGCTGGGATTATAGGCATGTGCTACCATGCCCAGCTCCCAACAGGATTTTATGAGAGAGAAAAGCTGAGTCTAAATTTTCCAGGTTCACTGTGAAGGGAGGATAAGAGAGGCTAAGGGAACAAAGTGTCCTAGGGTGCTGAGGCAGTCTGTATTCCTACTTTCTGTTTTAGTCAATTTTTTTGTTGCTGTGACCAGAAGACTTGACAAGAACAATATAGAGTTGGGGCTGGGGATGTGGCTCAAGTGGTAGTGCGCTTGCCTGGTACGCCTGCGGCCCGGGTTCAGTCCTCAGCACCACATACAAACAAAGATGTTGTGTCCGCCGAAAACTAAAAAATAAATATTAAAAAATATTTTAAAAAAATATAGAGGAGGGAAAGTTTATTTTGGCTCATGGTTTCAAAGGCTCAGTCCATGTCTGGCCAACTCCATTGCTCAAAGCCAAAGGTGAGTCAGAACATCATGGTGGAAGGGCATGTTGGAGGAAGGCAGCTCAGTATATGGCAACAGGAAGTAGAGACAGAGGTCTGCTCCCCAGGAACAAAATATAAACCCAGTGACCTACTTCTTCCAGCCACATCCTACCTGTGTGCAGTTACCTCCCTGATAATTCACCAATTAGGTGAAAGCTCATAACCTAATCATTGTACCGGCAAACATTCTTGCATTGTTTCACATGAGCTTTTGAAGGACACCTCATGTCTAAACCATAATACCTTCTTTCCCAGAGTCAACAAAATATTTCTATTAGCCCAGTGCTTTGTATTTATTGCACAAGAAGAGTAAAAATTAATGAACAAACATTGAGAATAGATGTATGTTCAACAAGAAAAAGAAAATTAATTTAGCGATAAAGAGGGAGAAGAAAAACAGAAGCACTTTTCAATAAGAAGCAACATGAGTCTGGCATCTAAATCCAAAAACTATATAACCAGGACTGGAAAAAGTCCATGTTACCAGTAATATGTCTGTTTTGGGAAGAATGAGTAAAATGAGCCTGCTTGAAAAAAAAGGCAGAAGTTAAGAATGAATTGACAAAAATAAGATCAATTGAATTCCTTTTTATTTCATTAAAATAGCAGCAGTAGCTAACATTTATTGAGTTCTTGCTCTGAACTAGAAGATGTGCTAAGAACATTGTGTGTGTCATTTTATGTGAACCCTAAACTGTGTGCTGTCTGCTTTTTTCCAGTGTCTTGAAGCAGAGTCCAGATGTGGAACTCTCCTTCCCACAGCATCCACAGAACTCCAACCTCTTTAGTGGTGTAAAGAGGGGAACGTTGTTTCTTAGTTCATACCGGGTAATTTCTACTTTTCTTTTGACCTGCCAATTAATTCTATGTTTGGTTTTTTGAAAACTGGATGGAACTTAAACTGTGACTTTCATAGAGTTTTCAAACATTTGCACTTTGAGATTTTGCATGTTAAAGAGAGATGGAAGAAAACAGGTGATGTTCTTTGGATGCCAGAATGACCTTGCTCTTAGGAGTCTGAATCTATGGAGGAATTCTGCATCCTTTCCCAGAGTTTCTTTTCTCACTTAGGTGATTTTCGTGACTTCACGCTCAGTTAGTGATCCCATGCTGTCCTTTATGATGCCGTTTGATCTGATGAAGAACTGCACTGTTGAACAACCACTCTTTAATGCCAACTACATTCAAGGGACTGTTCATGCAGCTCTAGATGGTAAATCTTTCACCTCAGGTGTTTTTCTTTTTTCCCTTGAAAGATTCTAAATGATCTAGAAAGCTAAGATTCAGCCATGGTTCATGTTGGAATTCATGAAACTGCCCTGCTTCTTTGAATATTGCTTCCTCAGTGACTGTGGTTGTCCTTCTGTTGCCAGCTGTGTCAGTCTCTTAGTAACTGTGTGTGCCCTTTCTTCCCACAGGTGGCTGGGAAGGACAGGCTACTTTTAAATTAGTCTTCAAAAAAGGAGGTGCCATTGAATTTGCTGAGTTGCTGATACAAGCTGCCGCTGCTGGTGAGCTTTGCTGATAAAGCTATTAAACAGTGTGGAGTTTGGAGGAATTGAAGTAGGACTGTTAGCTAAAATTTGCTGGCCTCTGTGATCAGGCAGTTGGTATTTGCACATGTATTCAGCAGGCATTTCCTGGACCTACCTAATGTGTGTCAAGTCCCATAATTTGTGTTGGGAACACAAAGATTATTCTGTCCCTCCCTGTCTGAGGGAGCTTTCAGTTAGACACCCCAGAGCCTAATTATACCTGATAGTATTTGTTCTTTAGATGCTGGTTTCATGGACCTTTTGAGTAGTCTCTTCTCTTGGTCAACCCCAGGTGGCTTAGCTTTTCTGCCTCTGGCATGATTTTTGATCTTCCCTGCTCTCTGTGGCCTTGTCTTTGCTTCTCTCAGCTTTAGTCTTTGTCTTCCATGAGAGGGGAGTATAGGTGCTTACTGCTCTCCAGCACTGATTTAATAGATGTACCAGAAAACCCTTTCAAACTTTGACTACAAATATTCCTTTTGTGATGTATTTTTATTTAATTTAGCCTCTCTCCAGGTCCCTTACTCTCTCAACTTTTTTTTTTTTCTTTTTTTGTACCAGGGGTCAAACCCAGGAGGTTTAACTACTGAGCCACATCTCCAGTCCTCTTTATTTATTTATTTATTTTTAAATTTTGAGACACTGTCTTGCTAAGTTGCTGAGACTGGCTTTGAACTTGCTATTCTCCTGCCTCAGCTTCCCAACTCATGGGATTACAGGTGTGTACCACCATGCCTGGATTCTCTCAACTTTTATACTAGACTTATACTTTCAATAAAAATAGACTTCTTTGTGTCTTATTCTCTTATCTCTGAACCTTTATACTCTTTGTTTTGTCTAGAATGCTCTTTCCCTTCCTCCCTTGCCTTCCACCCCCAACTTCAGTCTAGTTGAGGCAAACACAATCTATTAGAGACAGATATATGCAGATACATATTATATTTTATGGCATGAGCATATAGTATTAGAGACTTAAAGAAGGATTATATGAAGTTTCTTTCAGAAGACTAAATAGATCATGATGCTATAAACCATGGTTAACAATACGAGTCAGGGCTGGGGTTGTGGCTCAGAGGTAGAGCACTTGCCTAGCATGTGTGAGGCCCTGGGTTGGATTCTCAGCACCACATAAAATAAATGAATAAAATAAAGGTCCATTAATAACTAAAAAATATTAAAAGAGAAGGATGATATGAAGTTTCTTTCAGAAGACTAAATAGATCATGATGCTATAAACCATGGTCAAGAATATGAGTCAGGGCTGGGGTTGTGGCTCAGTAGTAGAGTCCTCGCCTAGCATGCATGAGGCACTGGGTTTGATCCTCAGCATCACATGAATGTAAAATAAAGCTATTAGAAAAAAGAATATGAATCAATCTAAGTTGGAGAAAAAAATGAGTTCAATTTTAGAACCTAATTACATTGGTTAACGCTTATTAAATATCTATCATATATTGTGTAGTCTTCCAAGCCCCTTTATACGTGTCAACTTATTTAACCCTTATAAAAATCTTATGATGTAGGTACTATCGTTATCTACACTTATAGATGGGGAAACTGAGTGAATGATGCTTATATAATTTCCCAAGACTATACAGTTAGCCAAAGCTCAACCTGTCCACCCCCCTCTCCTTTAAACTTTTTATTATAAAAATAGATCTAGGGGATGGGGTTATGGCTTAGTGGTAGAACACTTGCCTAGCATTTGTGAGGCATTGGGTTCAATTCTTAGCACTCACATAAATAAATAAAGGTCAATTGGCAATTTTTAAAGTATTTTTTTAGTTGTAGATGGACACAATATCTTTATTATTCTTTTTTTATTTGTTTATTTTTACGTGGTGCTGGGGACTGAACCCAGGCCTCACGCATTCGAGGCAAGTGCTCTACCACTGAGCTACATCCCCAACCCCAAGGTCCATTGGCAATTTAAAAAATAAAAAATAAAATAGATCTAGGGGCTGGAGGTAAAGCACTTGCCTCATAAGAATGAGGTCCTGGGTTCAATCACCAGCATCAAAATAAAAATGAAATAAATAAAATCTAAAGAAAATTTTCAAGATGTTACAATGACTCCCTTTATCTAGATTTACCCATTATTAACATATTCTCATATTTGCTTTATAATATTCTTTTTTCTTTTTGTTTTGCTGAATGATTTGTTTTTGCTGAACTATTTATAAATATTCAAGTGTGAGCTCCTTAGAGTAGGGGCATTCTCTTATCCTAGCTCAATGTGTTTATCAAATTCAGAAATTTTAGTATTGATATAATATTATTTAATAGTTTATATTCAAATTCAAATGATTATCTCATTACTATTCCTCATTCTAATAGAACTCCCCCTACCGGCTCTAGAATCAAATCCTGGGTCACATATTGAATTTAATTGCCCTACATCCTTTGTCTAATTTAATCTGGAACTTAGGTCTGTTTGTCTTTTATGACATTGATATTTTAAAAGGAACACAGTTGGGTTGGGGATATAGCTTGCCTAGCATACGTGAGGCCCTGAGTTTAATCCCAGCACTGTTTTTTCAAAAGGAGCTTATTGTTTTGTACAGTGACCCTCTGTTTGGGTTTGTTTCTTTCCTAATGATTATATTTAGCTCATGCATTTTGGCAAGTATACTACATAAGTGATGTCATGTCCTTTTGACTTTATACTTTTAAGCTCTGTGTCATATTAATTGTGTGGTATATGGGGATGCTAGAGGCCACTAGTCATGGAGCTTGGGGGTCCCAAAATGAGCTGTATCTACAAACTCATTGGGAAATCTTCTCACACAGATCTTCTTTGGAGCCATGTGTGCAGTGGGCTGTCTCAGAGAATTGAAGATAGATTCCAAGAGTCCTCAAAATTTAAGGAATGGAAAGGGAAAAGAAGAGAATGGAAGATAAGGGAATGAGTAATATGCAAAAAAAAAAAAAAAAGATTGAAAAAGGACCAAGTGAAAGGGAGGAGGAGAATCAAGTTAGTTTATTATCTGAAAGCCAAGGGGGGAGAAATTTTCAAAAAATATGGGCTGATCAGCAACTTCAGAGATGTTTGGTAAAATGAAGACTAAGAAGTGTGCACTGCATGTGGAAATAGATTTCAGTGAAATGCTGAGGAAGGGAGACGGTGGAAGAGCCACATTACAGAAGAGGAGTGAGAACAGGTTTTACAATTACTGTAATGATGCAGGATAAAGAGAGAGGGGCTGAGGACTTCACAAACCATACCCAGCTGCATGCTCCCTGGTGGTACAGAGGGCAGACAAGATCTGGAGCCTGAAATCAGATTACAAGGTGCCTGGCAGATGGAGGAAGTACATTGTGGGAGATTCAGGGTCAGGGGACACTTGGAAGTCTAGTCCTTGTATGTTGGAGGTGTTTGGGGAATTCAGGAAAATAGTTTACTGAGTGTTGAAATCACGCTTAATTTGGGCCTCAGAGTACTGAGAAGAGCCTCTTTTTAGAATTATGTGCTAACAGTCAGGCAACTCAACTCCTGTTTGTGTTCTCATTAAGATCTGCTTCTTGGCCTGCAAAGCTAGGTGCAGAGTCTCAGCAGTTGTATAGCCACTTAGAAAGAATTTAAGCAACTTCTACGAACTTGGCCCAGTGTCTGGAACTGCTCTGGGTCTGATTAAGTTATGGCTTAAGTATTGGAAACTACCATCCCCTTCCTCCCATCCTGAGTTGGGGCTTGTGAGATAGACTCCTTTGAGACCCTTGGAGTTAACGACTAATCATGTTTTGTGATCTAATTCTGTGACCAGGAGGATGCCCTTCCCCTCTGCAGAGTTGATGTGTCAGGGCTCACTCTCTCTCTTTTTTTTTTCTTTTCTTTCTCTCTCTCTTCCTTCCTTTCTTTTTCTTTTTCTTTCTTTTTTTTTGGTACTGGGGTTTGAACCCAGGGGTGCTTTACCACTAAGCCACATCCTCAGCCATTTCTACTTAAAAAATTTGTTTTTGTAGTTGTAGATTGACAGCATGCCTTTATTTTATTTGTTTCATTTTTATGGGATGCTAAGGAATGTTCTACACTGAGCTATAGCCCCTGGCTGTACTTTTTAAAATTTTGAGGCAGGGTCTTGCTAAGTTGCTTAAGGCCTAGCTAAGTTACTGAGGCTAGGTTTGAATCCACCTGCCTCAGCCTTCTGAGCCACTGGAATTACAGGTGTGTGCCACCACACCCAGTATGTAAGGGGTGTTTGATTCATGTATTTCACATATATTTATATTTTAGTTGTAGATGGACACAATACCTTTATTTTTTTACATGGTGCCGAAGATTGAACCTAGTGCCTCATGCATGCAAGGCAAGAGCTCAACCACTGAGCTACAACCCCAGCCCTCAAATATTTTTTTAAAAAACCTAGATGAGACAATTGGGAACATGACAGTTAACAAGGCACACATAGTTCCAGCCTTTATTAAACTTATAGTCTGGTGAGAGTCATATTAAAATAGGCAAACATATAAGTGAATAAAATAATTACTTGTTGAAGGAAATACTATAAAAGACATATTAAGATATTGAAAAGGAAGGTTATTTAGATAAAGAGGTTAACTCTATATTGAATTGGTTAGGATAAATGCTGCTGGCTGCTGAAAAAGATAAACCCCAAGTTAACAATGCTCAGACTGTAGATATTATGGCTTATAGAAAGGCTAATCAGCAGGGGCAAGAGAGGGCACTGTTCCATATAGTCATTTGGATACCTAGGTTAATAGGATTTCTGCCATCTTCGACATTTGCTGTCCATGGCTTCTTAGGGGCAGCCAGCAGAGAGGGAAAGAGAGTTAAGATTTTACCTGGGAACTTTTCATGGGCCAGGCCTGGAACTTGTGTACATTACTTCTGGTCACATGCCTTAGCCCAGAACTCAATGTGGGAAACTGATAATGGATCCCAAAGATATATCCATATCGTAATCCTTCAGAACCTGTGAACTTAATTGTAAAAACAATGTATGTAGATGTAATTAGTTTAAGGATCATGAAATGACAAGATCATCCTGGATTATTTTAGCAGCCCACAAATGCAGTCACAAGTGCTCTTCTAAGATATATAGAGGGGACAGACAGAAGTGCTTTTTTCTCTGCCACACTGCTGGTACATTCGTCTTTAATGGATATGTCTGGTCATCTTAATAAATCTTCATGTGAAAGTTTTTTTCTCAATCTCTACTATGATAGGTAGAGACCTTGAATAATCATAGAAAAATGAGACACAATCTATCTCAAAGCATATAGTTCAGGATAGTGTCATATATATTTTTTATCTCATATCCCAGGAGTCTTGTGGGACATACATGTGAAATGGTGTTTAATGCTGTTGATTATTCAGTTGATTGCTGCTATGTATCTGACTTACAAAAATTAAAAGAGTTCCTATTTTACCATATTTGTCTTCACAGCTGCCCGGGGAACTCCACTTCGAATTATGAATTACTGGATCTCCACTCCAGGAATTTATGTTATTACTGGAGAGGGAAACATGTGCACTCAACAGACACCTTGTCAAGGTGAGATATGGTGGAAAGGTTTTCCTGTTAAAGGCTCACAGACCTATTCAGTGAAGCCTTATCCCAGCTCTACTGCAGGAGAGCAGCAGAGGTTCAGGGGCTGGGAAAATGGTTGAATCTGTGACTGTTTCCAGACTGAAACCTAGTGGCAAGTCAGCTGATGACTGAGCTTGCATTTCAGACTTAATTTTTTATTAGAGCATTATAATTATACATAGTATTTGGGTTCATTTTGAAAAAAAATCATACGTGCAAGGAATTTGATTTTAATCTCCATCTCCCCTATCTTTTCTCCCCTTTTCCTTCCCCTTATTCTCCTCCCTCCATTCTAGTGTACTTCCTTTCATTCCTTTATTTATTTATTTTTTAAAATATTTTTTTTAGTTGTAGTTGGACACAATACTTTTATTTTATTCATTTTTTTATGTGGTGCTGAGGATCAAACCCAGTGCCTCACACATGCTAGGTGAACGCTCTACCGTCGAGCCACAACCCCAGCCACTATTTATTTATAATATTTTTTTTAGTTGTAGATGGACACAGTACTTTTATTTATTTTTATGTGGTGCTGAGGATCGAACCCAGTGCTTCACACATGCTAAGCAAGCACTCTTTCATTGAGCTACAATCTCAGCCCTATTTATTTATTTTTGATTGGTACTTTCAACATATTCCGTATATAAAGATGGAATTTTCAGGCTTGATGGCTGTGGGCTCAGGAGGTTAAGGCAGGAGGATTGAGAGTTAAAAGCCAGTCTCAGCAATTTAGTGAGACCCTAAGCAACTTAACACCCTGTTTCTAAATAAAGTATATATATTTTAAAAAAAAGGGCTGGGGATATAACTCAGTGGTTAAGCACCCCTGGGTTCAATCCCCAGTATATAAAAAAGAAGATGGAATCACCTTTGGTACATTTATATATGTATATAAATGATTTTGTTAAGTTCATTTCTTCCTTCCTTCCTCCTTCTCCTTCTATTCCACTCATCCTCCCTCTATCTTCCTTCTACCACTATAACCTTTCTCCCCTTATTTTGCTTTAGCTTCTACATATGAGAGAGAACATTTGACCCTTGATTTCTGAGCCTGGCTTATTTCACTTAGCATGATTTTCTCCATTTTCATCCATTTACCAACAAATGCCATGATCTCATTCTTCTTTATGATTGAATAAAACTTCATTGTGTATATATACCACATTTTATTGATACATTCATCTATTGACAGGCATCTGAGTTGTTTCCATAATTTGGCTATTGTGAATTGTGCTGCTACAAACATTGTAATGGCTGTATCACTCTAATATGCTAATTTTAGTTCTTTCAGGTAAACACTGAAGAGAAGGCTAGTTGGGTCATAAAGTGGTTCCATCCACAGTTTTTAAAAATTTATTCATTTTTAAAATTTTTTTTACTTGTTGATGGATATTTATTTATTTATATGTGGTGCTGAGAATCAAGTCCATTGCCTCACACATGCTAGGTGAGAGCTCTACCACTGAGCCACAACTGCAGCCCCCGGATCCATAGTTTTTTGAGGAATCTCCACACTGCTTTCCATAGTGGTATAATTTGCAGTCCTTCCAGTAATGTATGAGTGCATCTTTATTCCCACATCCTCGCTAGCATTTATTATTGTTTGTTTCTTTTTTTTTTTTAATATTGTTTGTTTCTTGATCATTGCCATTGTTGACTGGAGTAAGATGAAATCTTATGGTAGTTTTGATCTTATATCCTGTTACTTAGCCAGATTCATTTGTCAGCTCTAAAAGTCTTCTGGTGGAAGTTTTTCAATCTTCTACATATAGGACTACGTCATTAGCAAACAGTGATAGTTTGACTTCTTCTTTTCGATAGTTGAGTCATAGGATGGTTCTATCCCTAGTGTTTTGAGGAGTCTCCATACTGATTTCCAGAGTGGTTGTATTAGTCTGCTGTCCCACCAGCAATGTACAAGTGTACCTTTTCCCCACAACCTTGCCAGCATTTGTTATTGTTTGTATTCATGATCATTGCCATTCTTGACTAGAGTAAGAAGAAGTTTTGCTATAATTTTGATTTGCATTTTCCTGATTTCTAGAAATGTTTATTCATATATTTTCATGTTTTTTCATATATTGCTAGAGATATTTTTTCATATGATTTTTTCATGTATTTGTGGCCATTTGTGTTTCTTCTTTTGAGAAGTTTCTGTTTAATTCCTTTGCTCAGATATTGATTGGGTTATTTGGGGGTTTTTTTGGTGTAAGTTTTTTGAGTTCTTTATGTTTTCTAGATAATAAACCCCTATCAGCAGGTAGTTGGCCAAGATTTTTTCCCATCCTGTAGGCTCTGTCTTCATGTTCTTAATTGGTTCCTTTTCTGTGTAGAAGATTTTTAGTTCTATGGCATCTCACTTATTAATTCTTTGTTTTATTTCTTGAGCTTTAGGGGTTTTGTTAAGGAAGTTAATGTCAGCATCTATATGATGAGATGTTGACCCTGTGTTTTCTTCTAGCATTTTCAAGGTATCTGGTCTAATTCTTAAGTCTTTGATTCATTTTTATTTGAGTTTTTGTGCAGGGCAAGAGATAGGGGTCTAGTTTTATTTTTCTAAATATAGCTATCTAGTTTCCCAGAACCATTTTTTAAAAAAGGCTATCTCTTCTCTAAAATACATTTTTGGCACCATTGCCAAGTATAAAATGGCTGTGAGTATGTAGATTTGTCTCTATGTCTTCTATTCTGTTCCCTTGGTCTTCTTCATGGCTATAGCCAATACCATGCTGTTTTTGTTACTACAGCTCTGTAGTATAATTCAGATCAGGTATTGTGGTGTCTCCTGCTTTGCTTTTCTTGTGTGTATTGCTTTGGCTATTCTAGGTCTATAATTCTTCCAAATGAATTTAGGAATTGTTTTTTCTTTATTCCAGAGGTGCAAGGATGATTTAATATATGCAAATCAATAAATCTAATTCATCACATTAATAGAATTAAGGACAGAAATTACTTAGTCATCTCAGTAGATGCAAGAGAAGGCCCTTGACAAAATTCATCAACTATTCATGATAAAAAACATTGAAGAAACTAGGGATAAGAGGAACCTATCTCAACATTAAAAGCTATATATGTCAAACCCAAAGCCAACCTCATAGTAAAAGGAGAGAAATCGAAAGCATTTTCTTTAAAATCTGGGTCAAGCAAGGATGTCCATTCTCACAACTCCTGTTTAATATAGTGCTAGAAATTTTAGCCAGAACAATTAGGCAAGAGAAGGGATAAAAATAGGAAAGGAAGAAATCAAATGTTCACTGTTTGCAGATGATATGATCCTATACCTAGAATATCCAAACAACTCCACCAAAAGACTGCTGGAGCTAATAAACAAATTTGGCAAAGTAGCAGGTTACAAAATCAACATACAAAATCAATAGCATTCCTATATATCGAGAATAAATCTGCTAAGAAAAAAATCAGGAAAACAATTCCATTCACGATAGCTTTGAAAAAAATAAAATTCCAAGGAATAAATCTAAACAAGGAGGTGAAAGACCTCGAAAAGTATAGAACATTGAAGAAAGCAATTGAAGAGGACCCCAGGAGATGGAAAGAGCTCCCACATTCTTGGATGGGCAGAATTAATATTGTCAAAATGATCATGCTACCAAAAGCAATATACGGATTCAAGGCAATCCCCATTAAATAACCAAGGGCATTCTTCATAGAACTAGAAAAACCATTCCTAAAATTCATTTAGGAAAATAAAAGACCCAGAATAGGTGTATTAGGGTTCTCTAGAGGAACAGAATCAATAGGAAGTATAATTATAAAAAGGGAATTTATTAGATTGACTTATATGACTAGAAGCTGGATAGTCCACAGTGGCCGTCTACAGGCTGGAGATCTGGAGGAACTAGTAGCTGCACAATCCAAGATGCTAAAGCCTCAGAACAAGAGGGATCAAAGCTGCTACCCCAGTCCCAGACCTAACGCTCTGGTAACTCCCTGGAGAATCACTGGCATTGTTCCCTTTGGAAGAGTGAAGGAGTGAGAGTCTGATATCCTCAGGTGATTGCAGTAGCAATCAGGAACCCGTTAAAGAAGAATCAAGTTTGCATCTACTGCTGCTTTCTTGTTCTTTCAACTTTATTCTACCCAAACTGTGGAAACAGTGCTGCCCACACTTAGGGAGGGTCTCCACTTCTGTTTGCTATCCCACATGTCAATCATTACTAGACACACCCTCATTGACACACCCAGAAACCTCTTAGTCTTTGGCATCTCTTAATCCAATCAAATCGGCAATTCAAAACAACCATTGCAATAGCCAAAGTCATTTTAAGCCAAAAAACAATGCTTAAGGCACCACAGTACCTGACTTCAAATTATACTGCAGATCTATAGTAACAAAAACTGCATGATACTGACATAAAAATAGACACATAGACCAATGATACAGAAAAGAAGACACAGACAAACCACACAGATACAGTCATCTGATTCTTGACAAAGGTGCCAAAAACATATATTGAAGAAAAGACAGGCTTTTAGACAAATGGTGCTGGGACAACTGGTTATCCATATGTAGAAGGATGAAACTATACCTTTATCTATTACCCTGCACAACAATCAACTCAAAATGGATCAAAGACCTCAGAATTACACGAGAAACTGTGCAGCTCCTAGAAGAAAATGTAGGGTCAATATTTTAGATTTTAGGTACAGGTAATGACTTTGTCTATAGAATCCTAAAGCTCAGGAGGGAATGAGAATTAAAACTACACTGAGGGCTCGGAATGTGGCTCAAGCGGTAGCGCGCTCCCCTGGCATGCGTGCGGCCCAGTTTCGATCCTCAGCACCACATACAAACAAAGATGTTGTATCCGCCGAAAACTAAAAAATAAATATTAAAAAAAACTACACTGAGATTTTATCTCACACCAGTCAGAATGACAGTCATCAGTATTACAAAGAATAATAAATGCTGTAGGGGATGTGGAGAAAAAGGAACACTTTCACAC